CAGTGCTTATTGCTAGGTGACAAGCTCTTGTAATATACGGAGAACATTTTGAAAATGACATCTAATCAATATAATTTATAATCTTTTTAAACCTATTTTGTACCCTATCCGTGAAATTCTCTAGCCGTATAGGCTATCTCTCCCAGGTTTTCTGCAACCATGATGCGTGCGCATCCTGAATGTTTACAAACTTATAATTGGTCTATTGGATTTCCGCCAGACATATTGTTTGGTGTTGAGGCCAAATAATTGAATTTTAGTCTCATCTGCCTCAGAATCTTCTACATCTTCACATCTTGGTGTGGTCCCGCCGCGGGTCTGCCAGTTTCCATCGGCGTCGTGGCTGGAGGACCCCCTTGTCTCCGCCTCCAGCCTCCTCGGCCCGGACTCCGCCTCGGCCCATCAACCCCGTGGCTCCGCCATGGCTCTTAGCTTCCTCCTCTCCACTGTGGCACGTCAGTCCACCAGCTCTGCCGGGGTCCCTCATCCCTCCGGCGGCGCCTTGGTCGGTCCTCGACCTGCCCTCACCTCGGAACTACACTCCTCTGGCTGCACCTCGTCCCTCCATCCCTCTGGCTCCGTTGGGCCCCTCCGTCCCTCTGGCTCCGTTGGGCCCCTCCGTCCCTCCGGCTCCACCTTGGTCCTCTGTCGCTCAGGCTCCACCACAGCCTTCCGGATCGCCCCTTGGAGTCGTCAGCCCTTCCTCCCTTCCACTGTCACGGTTATATTCTGTTCTTGGACTTTGAGTTTGTTTTCATTTATCCCACGTGTTCCTGTGACCTAGTTTTCCTTAGTTCCCTTGATTAGTTTATTCTGTTCACCTGTGTTCATTAATCATCTCATTAGTTCCCTCTTTTTGTTTCTGTACAAGTTCTCCCTGTTCTGTTCAGTCCTTTGCTGGTTATTGTTTGATGTTAGATGTTGGTTGTGCTGCATTTTCCCTGAGTTTCTCCAGTGTTTCTTCTGTGGATTTATTAAAGGAATGTTATTTGGAATTCTCCGTCATCTTGTGCTCCTTACAGCACCAACACGTGACAACGTGATTATTTTAAAGGGGGGTGATTCTTTTCTATACCCACTTTATGTATGTATATGTATATATGTATATATATGTATATATATATATATATGTATATATATATATATATATTGGTCAAACCAAAATTTATTCAGACACCTTCAACATTTCACACATTATCACAGTTTATTCACTATAGTTTACAAATGGTAATAAAATATGACAAGTGTCAAAGTGAATAATTTTTGGTCCCAAATGTTTATCAGTTTTACTGGTAGTCCACTGTATGAAGAATTTTTGGGTATAATATGTCACAGTTTACTTTATTGTTCTATTCTCACTTGCATAAATAAACTATAGTGTCCTGCACCCACTAGTAAAAAAAATCAAGCAAATTTATCTGGTGTCTGAATAATTTTTGGTTTGACTGTGTGTGTGTGTGTGTGTATATATATATATATATATATATATATACATGCAAAAATTAGTGCTTAGGCTGCATGTGGATCATGAGCTCAGTGGCTACATGTGAACGTTTACACCAAATTCCAACTCTCAAGGGATGTAGTATTTGCCACTAGATGCTCATATTTCAAAACAGACGTGAGCAGCGATTCCTTTTCCTTTAAAGTTCATTAAGCAAAAGGTTATTCCCTAAATCATGCAGGTCATCCGATATGCCCCTAAGGGTCAAATTACCTGGAAATTCAGATTTGACACGTCTCATTCCTTGAACCATTCCATAGACACAAAGTTAATCCAAAATCAGACTGTACAGTTTTCTTCAGCTTGAATGGTTTAACTTAAGGTATGAATATTGCAGGTGTTATATGCCTACTATATATTTTGGATACACATTTATGATTTAATAATTTAATCTTTAGTTAACTATCTGTCTATTAAAGTTGCTATCTGTCTATTATTGTCCGTCAATGTTAAAAACAAAGAAAAAAAATCTTTTCATAATAAAGGACCTAACTTTCAGAGCCTAACTGAACGATTCAGTTGCACAAGTAGTGAACAATGAACTTTCGGGCCAGGCTTTATTAATTCAGAACCAGTTTTGACCCTTGTTTCTTTTTCTAGGAATAAGACCACTTAAGTAATTTTTGTAATGAGCTTGGCTTGGTTGTTGCCCCTTGGTCCTGTTGTTGGCTGGAACTAAGACCATTATCCCAGTGGCAATGAGGTCACTGTCATCTGCTCACTGATCCTACTGAGAACTTAACTCTTGCCAAATATCAACACTCAGTTTGTCAACTGGATCGTATATGGACTGTTTAGGTTCTAATAACCTCTCCTAAGCTCAAAGTTTAGTCATTAACCAATCTGTCCTGGATAACAAGAGCACATTGTTAGAATCAGAAAGAGCAGGAGGGTGATAGGCAAGGCAAGGCAAGTTTATTTATATAGCACATTTCATACACAATGGTAATTCAAAGTGCTTTACATAAAATAAATGAAAAAATAATTAAAAAAAATTATCACAACAATAAAACAAGGAATTTAAAACTTTGAAAATGATTTATAAATTGATTTAAGAGGTTTAAAAGAATTTAAAACTTAGAAAATGATTATACATAAAATATAGTGCAATCAGTTCGGACATTGCACAGTGCTCATTCAATAAATGCACAGCTAAACAGATGAGTTTTGAGTCTAGATTTAAATGTGACTAATGTTTTAGCACATCTGATCTATTCTGGAAACTGATTCCAACTGCGGGCGGCATAATAACTAAAAGCGGACTCCCCTTGTTTTGTGTGAACCCTTGGTATTTCTAACTGACTCGATCCTAATGATCTGAGTGGTCTGTTAGGTTTATAATCACATCCCAGAAAGCCCGACCCAGTTTTCCATTCTCTCTAGAAGTATGATATGATCGACCGTGTCAAACGCAGCACTGAGATCTAGATCTAGTATCAGCACTGATATTTTGCCAGAATCAGAATTTAAGCGAATATCATTTATTATCTTAATGAGCACTGTCTCTGTGCTGTGATGCAGTCGGAAACCAGATTGAAAATTGTCCAGGTGTCCATTTGAGTTTAAGTATTTGTTCGGCTGATTAATGACTACCTTTTCAATAATCTTGCCTATAAAAGGAAGATTTGATATTGGTCTATAGTTGCTCAATATGGTGTTATCAAGATTGCTCTTTTTCACAAGGGGTTTAACAACTGCAGTTTTCAGGGAGTTTGGAAACGTCCCAGAAAGAAGTGAGGCGTTCACCACTTCTAAGAGATCTGCTTCCAAACAGTTAAGCACCCTTTTGAAAAAATATGTGGGAAGTGTGTCAAGATAGCAGGTTGACGATTTAAGGTGCTGTACTATTTCTTCCAAAATTTTGCTATCAATTTCTTCAAAAGCAGACATACTATCTTCTTTTTGGTATTGTGGTCGAATCTGTCTGACCTCTTCATAATTTAGGGATGTGCTAATCGCCTTCCTGATATTATTAATCTTCTCAAAAAAGAAGGAAGCAAACTCATTGCATTTGCTATCGGAGAGCATTTCACTGGCAATCTGACTTGGGGGGGTTGTTAGTCTCTCAACAGTAGCAAAAAGAGTGCGAGTGTTGTTTAAGTTACTGTTTATAAGGTTTGAGAAGAATGACTGTCTAGCTTTGCCTAGTTCCACATTGAAAGCACGAAGGCTGTCTTTATAAATGCTATAGTGTATTTCAAGTTTCGTCTTCTGCCACATCCGCTCAGCTTTTCTGCATTGTCTTTTCAACTCTGAACTGCTGTTGATTTTCTCCAAGCTGATTTCTGTCTGCCAGATTTCTTACTGACTTTTACAGGAGCAATGTCATCAATAACATTCTTCACTTTTGAGTTAAAGGAATCAAGGAGAAGATCATCAGAGTTTGCAGAAATGCTTGGTGTTGAAGATATAGCCTCCATAAATAGCACACTAGTGTTCTCGTTAATGCATCTCTTTCTGACAGAGACATATCTAGATTCAGTGGTAGCAGAGATCAATATATCAAAGAAAATACAGAAGTGATCAGATAGTGCTACGTCCTTAATAACAATGGATGAAATGTTTAGACCCCTACTGATGAGGAAATCTAACGTATGTCCACGATTGTGTGTAGGTTCATGCACATGCTGAATCAGGTCAAAAGTGTTTAAAACAGTTATAATTTATTTTGTAGTTTTGTTTTCTGCATTATCTATGTGAATATTAAAATCCCCTGCAATAGCAAAACAGTCAAACTCTGAGGAAATCATTGATAGTACTTCTGTGAACTCTTCAACAAAGGCTGGAGAGTATTTTGGAGGCCTGTAAATAATGATAAACAGAATGCGTGGAGCACCTTTCAACACAATCTTTAGATATTCAAAAGACAAGTACTGACCAAATGACACTTGCTTGCATTGATAGACATCTTTAAATAGAGCAGCTACACCTCCACCTCTCCTAACAGTCCTGCAAACACTCATGAAAGTGAAGTTAGGAGGGGCTGTTTCATTGAGGACCGTTGCACTGCAGCTGTCTTCTAACCATGTTTCGTTAAGAAACATAAAATCCAGGTTGTTTGTGGTTATTAAGTCATTGATTAGAAATGATTTATTTTCACTAACAGGAAAAATACAAATAGAGACATAAACATTTACATAAAATTTTACATCCACTTAATCATGTTGTGATTGAATCATCATGCATTACTACACAACAAAACAGGAGCTGCAAATCTGCAAAGGCTTGTGCAACTCCATATGCATCTAATGTAAATAAGGACATGGCATAGATGTCTGTTAGGGTAAAGACAGCTGTTTGGTGCAGCCCTGCAGTCCCTCTAGTGGTCCACCATGATAAAACTATTTTTTGTGGTTTCCATGCAGCAAGGCTCCATGCTTTAGATGAGGAAACTTACTGCAAAGAAAATGTAACACTGTTGTAGTTAGTATACTATACTAATACTGTCCTAACAAACCAGAATCCCACTCTAAAAAAAGTTCACCTTGCACAGACAAAGTTTGTTTTGTTTATTTCAGTCATTTAAGTTTATAACAACTTCTGGATACTAGACATAAAAGGGGGAAATGATTTTGAAATGCACATTTTTGCACCCCATGAAGACTTGCGAAAAGCTCTTCACTGTTTTAGATTAGATAAACCACCACACTCAGCAGATTTTATGTATGTACTGTGTACAACTATGCATTCACAAAACTATCTATATATTATATAACTATAATATAATATGCCACAATGCAGTTTATGTTCACATTTGCTGACAGACAGTGGTTCATCTAATCTGAAACAGTGATACACCACACTGGTGTAATATAACAAATAAGAACCAATGAAAAGTTTACAAATTCATTACACTAGTATCTCATGGGTTTTCACAGAAATGTCCTTGCTGTTTAAATGAAATCTGAATAGAGGAGAGATCTGTAAAAACAAGTACATTTATGCATGTGTGCTATAATGAACGCACTGACAACTACCGAATGGAAAAAAAAACCTCCTACAGCCAAATCAAGTTTCTGGATATATACTTTCTTTTTAACCTTGCTGTTTAAATGAAATCTGAATAGAGGAGAGATCTGTAAAAACAAGTACATTTATGCATGTGTGCTATAATGAACGCACTGACAACTACCGAATGGAAAAAAAAACCTCCTACAGCCAAATCAAGGTTCTGGTTATATACTTT